GGTGTGGTGGGATGAAAATGTTCTGAAATTGATTATGACAATTGTACCCTTTAAACAGGTTATGTTGAATTATATCTCAATAAAGCTGTTATTAAAAATAAGAATGATCTGGCCTGGCCAGTGTGGCTCAGTTGGTTGGGCGTCATTCTGCAAACCAAAAAGTTGCTTGTTCAAATCCTGGTCAGGGCACATACTTGGCCGCGCATTCAGTTCCCAGTCCGGATGTGTGCAAGAGGCAACCAATCGATGTTTCTGTCTCACATCAATGTTTCTCTCCCTCTCTCTTTCCCTCCTGTCCCCTCTCTCTAGACTCAATAAAAGGAAAAAAATTTAAATAAGAATGATTAGGAGTTTATTATGGAGGTGTGAACTAGTCTCAGGCCCATGCTAACTGTCATGCTAGGAGTCAGATGGGGCTAAGGCCCAGGGAAGTCCTAAGTATACAGTCCTCTACCCTGAAAACCAGGGGATGGGCCCTCCTAATGGGTTCTAACAGCTGAAAGGTAGCAGAATATGTCACCACAAAATATTAGTGTAGGGAGTTTATTACATGCCACTCCAGGATATGCCACTTGGGTATACTGATAATTTTGAGATGAGGGCATTTGAAAAATAAAGGCAAGGAAAAGCTTTGTCTGAATTTCTTCATCTGCCTAAAGACAGATCCTCAAAAAAAATTTCTGGGAATTTCCTCAACCAGAGGAGATTCACTCTTATCTCCGGAGAGGAGATACTTATTACTGGACACCACACCCAGACAAATGCTGTCACAACCCACCATACCTCCATCTATTTTCTAAGGATCCGATCTCTTTCCTGAAAGTCATCTGCCCTTTCCTTAGATCATTTACAAAGTCCCACCTATTTCCTTATTAAGTAGGCATTTAAGCTTGAATTCTAAGCAACCTCAAGAGTTATTAATTTTTCTCTGGGTGTCTCCCATGTTTATATGAAGCATACACATTAGTAAACTTCTGTTTGTTTTCCTCCTGTTAATCTGTCTTTTAGTACTCAGGTCTCAGTGCTAGGAACTGAGAAGGGTAGAGGGTAGTTACAGGGCTTGACTTCCAAGCAGACCCTCCCATGATCCTCAGGTCTAGTCAGGGAGTGAGTGTTCCTGGGGTTCTGGAACTGAGGGGAGCTGTGGAACTTTATTTCCTTCCCCACAAGAGCTGAGGAACTCTCCCTGGATGGGTGTTTGGAGTGAGGGAGAGAATGGCACAAGGGAAGGGAGTATAAAGTAAATTTATTAATTACACAATTTTTTGAGCATTAGCTATGGATCTGGCACAATGAAGCAATTGAGATGCAAAGAAGTGTAAGAGCTCCTCTGGCCTGGGAAAGCTTGTCAAGACGGATGTGTGAGAGAACTGCAAGAGGGAGGTGCTAGCACAGTGGCACGCAAGGAAGACTCGGGAGGGGGGCACATTTCCATTCCTTCAGAAGTTTCCTGCGATCATGGGGAGTGTGGGCGTGGCCCTGCGCGCTCTCTTCCTAAGGGGGACCTGTGGTGTGGGGGTGCTTGATGGGCGGAGTCTAGGTGCTATGTCCTAGGGTTTGGGTCCCTGAAAAACATAGTCTCAGTACTGCACTAATGGGAAACATGGACAAAGATATAAAGATGACCGGGTTCACTGGCCAGCCCCTCAATGCCCACAAAACTGCTAAGGAAACTTAATTTAATTGAACATTCATAGCAGTGCTTCTAATTCTCGCCTATAATATTTCAGGTACTTTATAGATTATGTGAGGGCTGTGAACAATCTATCCATAGGAAGTGTGTTTCAAGTTCTAAGTCAATGAATGTTTAGAACACAACTCCTTTACTAGCCATTAGACACTTGCAATAATGAGCGTTCAGGAAAATCTCTTTAAATACAGCAGGGCTTGAACCACTGCTGGGCCAGACATGATATGGCAGAAGGCTTCCAAGGTCTTTCACATAAAGCTGGAGGGATGCCTGCCCCCAAAGCTTCCAGCCCTGTCTTTGTGCCCTGCTTTCATCTCACCCGGCTAAGACCCTGGTAGCACCAGGAGGATGCAGGATGCCAGAAGCCAGGAACAAGAGGGCGAGGGGCTTCAGGGTCCCATTCAGCCTCTGTGTGGTTATGGCCCGGTGGGTCCTTGGTGCTGGGACCACATGCTTTCAGGAGGAGATAGGAGCTGACCAATGCACAACCGCACATAATAATGGCAGAAACAACCTCAGGGCTGGACACAGAAGCTATAATTACAGGAGAAAACCCACAACGAATTCTAGACTGTGGTCCTTTTGATCCTTAGACCAGGGAGGGGAAGGAAGGGGAGACTCATCCTGACCTGGTAAAAATAGGGCAATACAAAGAACACTGTGCAGTCAGGCTGAAAATTAAACAGATGTAAGTTTCTTTAATTCGAAGGTTTAATTATTCTGACGGTTTCCATACCTTCATCTGAACCATTACTTCAGCTTTAATTATGAATAATGAAATGGATTATTTACACTAACTAAGATGACAGAGGAAGCTGAGAGGTGAGAAATTGGTAACTTGGCAACTGTTTATTCATCTTCTTTTTCAGCCCGTGTTTATTAAGTACCTCCTGTGTTTCAGCCTTTGCAATGATCCTATTGATGTCTTATTAGGAAGAAATAGTATCACTATAGCCCATATTGTAGGCCTGTTTCTTTCACTTCATTATCTCATGTACCGCTCTCAATAATACTCCATGGCAGGTATTATTCTTCCTGATTTATAGAAGCACAACTAAGATTTGGAAAGGTTAGGTAATGTGCATAAGGTCACACAGCAAAACCTATGCTCTTTACCACCTAACCTACCTCACACAGAAACCTACCTGTTTATTGCTGGCGGAGTCTAGGTGCTGTGTCCTAGGGTTTGGGTCCCTGAATTTTCAGAATGCTGTTCTGAATCATACTTCCTACTTCATATAGGAAAAGTTAGCTTTTCCTAAGGTAAATGTTGCTTGTTATTTTAAGGAGGCAAGACAGTGATCAAAATTGTACTTTTGAGCCCTGGTGGGGTTGCTCAGTTGGTTGGAGCATTACCCCATACACCAAAAGGCTGCAGATACCCGATCAGGGCATATGCCTAGGTTGCGGTTCAATTCCAGGTCAGGGAGCATCTGGGAGGCAGTTGATCAATCTCTCTCTCTCACATCGATGTTTTCTCTCTCTCTCTCCACTTCTGTCTCTAAAAATCAATAAACAGATCCTTTGGTAAAGATTAAAAAAATGTACTTTTGGGAAATGAGCCCTATAAGTTCCTGAAGGATGCATCAGATGCTACTGAGACAGCCCAGGCCAGAATCCAGGTGGGGCCTTAGGCAGGGTGGTGTCAACAAGACTGGACAAATGAGCTGCAGAATGTACTGCGGAGGCTAGAAGGAGCTGTGAAGGGTTTGGATGTGATGGGCAAGGAAGAAAGACAACCTTGTTGCCCTGAATTTGGAAAGCAGGGAACACGAAGTCCCAGCTTGGCCTCTGACCAGTGGCTTGACCTGGGACAAGTCTCTCATCTTCTCTGAGCCTTACTTTCCCTGTGCCCAAAGGTGGTATGACCAGCTATTTCACATTCTCAATTCTGCTAAATAAGGGCATATAAACTGAAACTTTTTTTTCAGATATTGTTGTCAACCCACTTCTGTTAAATCTCCCTTAGTATCTTGCTTCCTTGTCACTTTTGGTTATTCATGGCCCACCACAGTTTTTAAGGCTTCTATCTCAGACTTGACTTAAATCTCATTCCCTGCCATCCCTCTGCTCTCAGACTGCTGTGATAGGGGGAGCTGGGACTGAGAATTTGGACCCTGGGCAAGTGGTGTGGTCTGGCTGTAAAAGGCCTCCTCTCTCTTTGCACCAGGGTAGAAGGATGAAGAGAGAGAGAAGTGATGAGTGTTGCTCTCAGCTGGTGCTCATTGCTGTCTCTCTCCACTGACTGTGGCAGCTCCCTGGCTCGCCCTGACTAGCTGGCCAGTGGTGTCCAAATTCTGTTTGCTTTGAGGTGCATATGGTCTTCAGAGCTCTTGTAGGAACTCCTGCTGCTCATGCCCCGATGGGGCAGGTCTGGCTCAATGCCCCCTACCCTCCTCCTGTCGCTAGCCTGAGGTGCTGGCTCCCCTCCCCCAGGGAGCAGTTCTCGAGTGAAAGGAGCAGAAGAGAGTCTCCAAGTCCAACTTCCTTCCACTGTGTCCACTACTACTCTTGCTGCACCACACGAAGGGGGCGGGCTGCTCCACAGTCATCCTCTCTCTTTGCCGCCATCACGCCTCTCCAAGTGGAGTCTGGACTCCAGCCCAGCTGTGTTTCGCTCGCCAGGCCTGGAGCCTGGCACAGAGCCGCGTGGGACAGGTAAGCAGCAGATAGGGCAGCACCTGCCCTGAGAGATGGGCACATCTCTCCCCACTGAGCAGAAGCCTTGATATTCCAATAACCTTCCTCCACAGGCCCCTCTGAGCGCTAGAGGGGCAGCGGCAGTGGTGATGGAGGGAGTCAATGCCACCTTGAGGAGGCGTCCATTCCCAACTCTGTGTCCAACTCATCAATTCAGTCAGCAGAAAAATTCCCACTTCCCCACCCCTGCTTCTGAGAAAGACAAAATGCCTGGTTATAGGGTGATTGAGATCGTCATGGGCGACGATGCTCATGTCCAGCTTTTACTGTCATCTCAGTGTCTCCACTCTTTCTTTGCCCTTTGACTTCTCCTTGGAGCTCTCTGTCCGCAGAGTAAGTGTGGAATTTTAGAATGGACTCTGTGCTGACCAAGGCGGCTTGGTTGGCCTCTTAGGTACCCTGCCGTCACAGAAGCAGGTAATCAAAGAACAAACAGTTCTGTGGTATTTAGAGTCTCCCTTAGTTACCACCAAGCCTCTGTTTGATTTCTTGCATAGCAACAAAACCAGGAGGGGAAGGTGAGTGGCATCTGGAATACACTTTGGGTATAAGGTGGCATTCAGCTCCTGGATAATTTGTTGGAAGTGTGCACAGAGGTGAACCATCAGATATGCAGGAAGCAGTCCTTCTTCTGGCTCTCCTGGGTGCCACATCAGGTAGGAGCTCCATTTTGCAGCCTTACTTGCCTGACTCGGTTTACATGATAGTGTGTGATAAAGTCCCAAAAGAGGAAATTACCTCTGGGAGGCCTAGATTAACTGGGGGCTTATCTGCACTGATGGATGAAATGATGTAGCAACAGGAAGCCCCGGGAGGCTAGGGTAGGGTTAACCCAGAGAACAGAGACACCTAGAGAGGCCAGTCTAGTCCATGTTTGTACAGGCTTCACTAACCCTCTGTTGTTAACTGGCCTGAGCTGGAAGTCCTTCCAAGATCCAAAGTTGGGAAAATAATTTTCATAACAGAGCTTAGTGCTATAGGAAAAGAAATATTTTTCTTTACTCTTCTGGGTCCTTTTATCTGGTCTATTAATTAAATTGACATAAGGCAGATTAACAGTAGAAAAACAAATTTAATTATGTACATAGGGGCACCCATAAGAATATGATAACTACAGGCAGTCAGGCAATTGGGCCTCACAACTGAGGGGACACAGAAAGGACTTTGATCTCCAGGCCCTGCTGAGCTCCCCCCAGCCCACCACCCTTAGCTCACATCCTTTGTAGTTATCTTTGGTGATAGCTTTCTTTCTAGACCAGGCCCTCTATCTAAATTATTTTAGAAAGTTAAGGGGGAGAATTTTTTAAAAGCGACTTCTGAATCTTTTGGGTCTTCGATGTCTTCAGCTCAAAATAGTCTGCATTGTCAAAGTGGCACATTCAAGGAAGACTTGTTCTGAGCTGCTTCAGCGTGTATGTCAACTCAGTCTGTGGAGATTCTGGCTTTTCTCTGGAGACTTTTGGGGGCAACTTGAGCTTGGTAAATCATCCTGTGGAAAAACTGAGGTACAGAAGAGCTACTGTCTTACTCTTGAGTAGAGAAAATTCCTTCTGGTGGAAGAGCCAAAGAGTCAACCTCGTTCTTCTTGCACCTCTTCTTTATTCAAGAGCTTCAGAAATCTCAGACGATCTTTTTAATGTTATTAGATTGAATTATTGAAATTGAACTTTTTAAATTAAATCTTGTTTTTGAATAGGTAGTATATGCATAATGTATGGAATTCAATCATGGTAAATTTGCAGATTAATTTAGAGATCATTTACATCTTTGATGAGTTACTTTAGTAAAACAGAGGAGTGTCTTGTACATAGTAAATACTTAGTAAATTTAGTCATTATTATGTATGACATTGATTCTTCCCACCCAAGAACAGCGTTCTAGATACTTGTTTTTCTTCATTTGTTTTCCTCGAGTACTTTAAAATTTTCTTCGTATACATCTTGCACATTCTGATTATGTTTATTTCTAATTCTTTTAATTTTTTTAGCACTTGTAAATATAATTTTTTTCTTTTCTTATGTCTTTTCATTGATATTATAATGTATGGAAGTCTATTAATAAATTATTTTATTGTTTGTAATGGTTTTTCAGTTGATCTCATTCATTTTCCAGGTTTGAAAATAATAAACATTTGTACTTTTTCTTACCTATTTTTCTATCTCACTTCTTTTTCTCATCTAATTACTGGGTTTGTACTTTCAGACTGCTGTTAAACAATGATAAGCACGTACATTCTTCTCTCATTCTCCATTAAGTAGACACTAGCTTTTGGTGTGAAATGCTTTATATGTTAAGAAAATTGCTTTTATTTTTATTTAGGATATTTATTTCTAAATCAAAATGGGATTTTAAATCAAATGCTTTTTCAGGATCTATGGAAATGACCATTTGACTTTCCCCTTTGACCTGCTAATAAGATAAATAAATAACTGGGTTTCCTAATATTGAACATTCTTTAGTCTTAGGCTTTTAGACTCAGCAGAGGGCAGGAGGAACTGTAAATGTGCGTTTGAGCTTTGAGCAGCTCAGAATGTCACCTGAAGTAAACATTTGAGATTTTCCCAGAAACATAGGCTTTTAAGACCATAATCATTTGAGTTAAGAGGTGACATTTATTGTCATTGGGGGAAGAGTGAGGTTGGAAAGAACCCACTGTTTCTTACTGAACATTAGCATTCAGAACTTCATGAGGTGTGTGAAAGGAACTGATCATAAAGATTTGCAAGAAATATTTGAAGTTTCTTATAAAAACCACATTCAGACCCCTTCCTCTCCAAAAAACCATGCACTGTACCATGCTTCTGTTGCTACTGGTTAAATCCTTTTTTTATTTTTATTTTTTGGAAGATCTGCTGTGATGCAAACTGTTTCTCTCTCACCTTTTTCTGTGAGTCTAAGAACCTGACTGGTCCTTTACCATCACCGTCAAACATTCAGGTAACAGAGTCTTGGGAGAGGGGAACTGTCACACCAGCACCTGTCTTCAGGGTATTGGAAGCTGGTATTACTCTAATAATCTCAAATGAAGTAATATTCTCCAGTATGCTCTTTCCTGTCACTAGGGCTAACTCCTGTGCATCCTCCAAGGCCCAACTCAAGCCCCACCATGGAGCCTTCCCAGATTGCCCTAGCTCTTGGTAGGTACTCTTTCTATTGTCGTTGGAACTCCTCTTGCCTACACTTGGAATTCATGCCAAAGGTTTAGAACAGTGCATAAGAGAATTAAGTGCTCAGTGAAAGGCAGCATGAGTTATCATACATAATTCACCTGGTATGTGTCTGTCCTGCCTCCTCAACTGGAATGTTAGTTCTGCAATAACAAGTTTCATATCTCTTATTGCTCTGTGGTCTCCAAGTACCACATACATGCAGGGTATCAAATAAATGTTGTTTTTGTTGACCATCTTCCTTTTTTGGGTCCATCTTTTTTTTTTTTTTTTTTTTTTTTTTTACATTTGCTGATATCCCTAAAATGCAGAAATTTAGATCTTCTTCCTGCTTAATATTGTCACATAAATGAGCTTCTTTCCTTTCTATCTCTTATTAAGATGAAGGAAACGAAACAGTTTCTCTTTGAGATGCAATAGTGTCCCATTCCAACAACAGCTTACAAAGGACAGACCCAGAAGAACACAAGCTAGACAAAAGTCCCAACTAGGCTGGTGGAAGAGTTGAGACAAAACAATCTTCTGTCTCCATCAGCACCAAAGGACCACATGCCATTGCTAGAAGACAGAAGACTTAGCAGACCCCCTTGGTATACTTAAACCCAGAGTACATTGAAGTTGTCTACATTTTGAGAAAGCCTAAAGAGAGCTAGCTCTTTGTATTACCCTCATAGAAATGAAAAGTGCCATAGTGTTTAATGAAAGAAAGGGTCCTTGGGAGCTGGAGAAGCCACATGAACATGAAAATGGTACCAGCTCCATTGACCTGAGTTTTGTCCACCTAGCACCGGGCATGAGACTGTCTCAGGTCTCTCCAGGAAGACCCCCCTAAGCCTGCCATCTGTGCCTGGCCCTCTTCTGGACAGGGCTGGGAAGTAAAAAGGAAGTTCAAGGCTCAGTATTTCATGTTCCCTGAAGACTAGGTACAACCCTTTCATCATTGGAAAAGGCAGGAAAGTTCAGTCCATTCCCAGAAAGTCTTTCTGTCACCAATTAAACCTATATGTGGGGTCCAAAGAACATTGCAAAATGTTTCTACTTTTTCTGCCACACCACTTTCCTGTTTGGAGCGAACTCGGCACAAGAGCAGAAGGCCATCCCTGCTCTCCTTCCATCTCTTTTTGCCTTCCCCATGGCAGTCTGGTTGTCCCCCTCTCACCTCTGGCTCAAACATTAAGTCATCAGAGTCCATCTTCTTTTCTGCCTCTGTGGAATTGAAAGAAGGGTGCAAGAAACCAGCTCCTCTCAGGCCAGCACCAGACACTCTAAGACTGACACAGCTTCTTTTTGCTAATTACGACCTAATGTAATTTACAGAGTCACCATAGTTTCTTCTGCATCCCACTGAGGGCTCCCTTCTGAGCCTTGCCTGGCATTGATCAGACCCCCAAGGGGGTGGGTGAGCATCCCATCCAGAAAAGTATCTACTGCAGAAATAAAAGACATTCATGGACATGGACAACAGTGGGGTGATTGTGGTGGGGAAGGGAAAGAAGTATAAGGGGACTAAATGGTAATGCAAAAAATACAATAAAAGATAAATTAAAAAATAAAAAAAATTAGAGACATAGGAGGATGTTGCATATACTGAAACAACATTCTGTAATGTTTTATAGTTTATCGAGCAAATGCATTTTATTATATGGTACCTGTGCTATGAGAGTGAATTCCACTAGATCTGGAAATAACCTCAGTTGCTTTGCTAAAGTTTCTCTACGGAACTGATCCCTGGTCAAGGCACAAAGCATGCTGGTTAACAGTGCTGCTTTGTGACCATGAGTCCTGGGAATTTGGGAATGGCTCTGCTATAGAGACTAGTTATGTAATAAGATGACACCTACATGACCAGAAAAATATGTTTCCAGCAGAGATTCTCTTTTGGGCTCCCTAGTTCCAAGGTATTTGTGGGTACATTGATGATTCCTGGTCTGAGCAAGTGCATTTTGTCATGGCCCTTCAAGAAAAGAGGACAAAAAGAGCTGGTACCTGGCTTCTCCAGGCCTCATGCTGTGAGGCAGCCTTCAGCTCTGATGCATATCCTTACTTTAAACTATAGATTTATAGGCATTCTCACTTGGGTCCTGTGAGTCTTCTTTAACAATTGCACTCTGTTTAACAACCACTGTTAGTGTAGCACCATAGTCCTGGGAGAGAGAGTTCACTGAGGGCCCCAGAGAAGTTGAGAGACTAGCCCGAGGTCCCACAGTCAAGTAGAGGCAAGGCTCTTTTCACACTCTCTTCTACCTCTATTGCTGCCCTCTTGATTAGTTACTAGAGAGAATGAAGAGGTATTTCCTGAAAGCAGAGGTGTAAGTAGGAGCAGCTGTATCCGGGAGGGAAGGATGGCATCATCCCACGTCCCTGAACCACATTATCACCTTTAGTGTCCAGGGTGCAGGGTGGGAAGCTTCCTCCCCCATAACTGGGGCTGTGGAGGCCTAAGTATTGTAACACGTGCTCCAGGAGCAGATGTTGTTGGTCCATTTCTGGCAAGGCAGAGATTTTGCTCATTTTTAAACAAGTGAGGACATCCCCCATCCAGATCTCAACCACAGCAAGATGTTTCAGTGGGCTCAGTGACTGATGATAAATCTTTGGTGTGCTTTTTCTTTTTTAAAGTGTACGCTTCATGTAATTTTAATTTGATTCTTAATTAAGATGCATGTGTAAGTCAAATCCCATTAAAGCCTCTTTCTTGTTCTCCAGCATTCAGATCACCAAAGAAAGTTCAAATGGCCATCCTCAAAGGGGAAGTGTTTGGTGTCTTAGGAAGGGTAAGCCCCTGGCACCTAACCTTTCTGGTGCCACTGATTAACTAGGTGCCTTTGGACACATCCCTTAAACTTATTTGCATAATGAATGGGTTAAACATTTTGTGATTTTAATAATATTACTAATGCTCTATTCTTAAGGTGTGGCCCAGCCACTAATTATTATTATTATTGCTATTACTGCTGCTACTACTACTTTTTCAAATAACAAGGAAGCTGGAGAAAGTGGGTGTTGAACTAAAAATTGAGAGATCCCAGCTTAGCTACCTTTTTTAAAAAATACATTTCCCCAGTGTGTCTACCACAAAGTTTTTCTAATTCAGTTGCAAGACCCTGTCCCACATGGCCTTGCCCTGGGAGGAGAAGCTACCAGATGAAAGCAGAAGATCTCCAGCAAGAATGCCAGGAGAAAGGGCATCTCTAAGGACACAGTCTGGCGTTATCCATCCACAGGCTAGGCAGTTCCCAGCACAAATTGCTTGAGGGACACTGGATAGATTCACTTCTGGCTCCAAAACATCTCCCTCATTGCCATGTGAAATATGACCATTCAGAGAGGGCTGTGAAAAGCTCTGTTAATGTACGGAGGAAGCATGGAGCTGTGAAGAGTCCTGCCATTGGAGTCAGCAACTTGGACTGAAAGGCTAGTTCTTTATGAAATTAGCTTCTCAAACCCCAGACTTACCAAAGTTATAATTAATACAATAAGATCAATGAATATACTCCCAGCAAAGCAAACTAAGAGCTGTGATCTGAGAATATTTGGGGGGGATAGCTTCTCTAGCCTCCTCAGTTCTCCAAAGGAGACACCAAAGTTGATGGCTATAGTAATCTGCCTGTGTAGTGGGAGGCCATGGAAAGCCCTGAGCAGGGCTTAGCAAGCCTCTCATCCCCGAGCTCACATCCAGCGACCATTCCAGCTCTATTCCTTAGGTTGTTCCAAAATCAGCCTCTTACAGATAACATGATCCAAATCTAACATCTGGCTTGAGGGGCCAGTTTCATACCAAGCCCCAGCACCATCTTACCATATTGTTGCCAGGTTATAGAAAAACTAGGATGCGTCACATGTGCACAGTTCTCTGACAAGCACGGAGTGACGACTGCTGCAGTGAGGATGTGCAGCCTGTTATCTCCAAGACTCAGATGCAGGAGGGCCCTCCACGGCCACTTCCTGAGTGTAATCGCAGATGTGTGAAATGGCAGCAACACCTGCATTGTGTTTAGAAGGGATGAAATCGGGCAGTAAAATAGCTAGCGCAATGCCTGGTGAGTAGGTTCTTAGTAAATGCAAGTAGTTATTTGTTTTAGCAAAGCTATAACTCACCAGGCTATTCTTGAGAAAAACCTAGTGAGTTAAATCTGAGCAGAAACTTCCTTCCTTCTTGGCCCGAGGGGCACAAGTCCCTGAGTGGGAGGGGGCAAGAGAAGTTGGGAAATTGTGTGAGACAAATTGTCAGGCTTTCCTTTTGCTTATGACTGTCCTTGTCCTGCTGAACATGCTCATGAACAGCTTGCTGGGGGTGGGGGGATGGGCAGAGAGGGGTCTGCTGACTTTCATTTGCAGGAAAAGAGGGCATGAGGGAATTATGACTAAAAACTTTGGTTTTAATCCTCATTAAAAATAAATGATTATTTTGTTGATTTTGAAAAACTATTTTTGGGAACATTTTTGTCTCTAAATACTCCAAGTATACTATTTTTCTCCTGGTTTTTATCACAAGAATGGTATAATACTAAAGTCAATTTTTATAGATTTAAAAAAAATCTATATTCACATTTGCTTAAACCTCAGCTGTTTTAATTTATCTGAGTCCTTGCACAATCCTTGTCCATAAACCTGGATAATTCTGTAAGTAAAAATAACTTATGCACAATGCATTTAGTCTCAAATTTAAACAAAATGATTTTAGATTTATGAAAGCTTGTCTCAATGATTGTATTTATATTTCAATTTTTCCTACAGTTTCGTTATTACTTTGCATCTCCAAATTTGAAATAAAAACATTCTCTTAAAAAAGCCAACATTTTTTCCATGTCTCCTTTGTTTCTAGAAATTTTACGCCTTTTAGCAGACAGATGCGTTTGTTACTCTGTCCCTCTCCTCTCATTCCACACGGTTTGTCTCTATTGTCTTATGGTGGCCAATATTGGGACCTGACTGAGAAGTAGCACCTCAGTATAAATTTTGTCTTTGTTACTTAGCACAGTAGTCCCCCTTTTATCTGTAGTTTCACTTTTCACAGTTTCTTTTATCCATGGTTGACTGTGGCCTGAAAATATTAAGTGGAAAAGTCCAGAAATAAAAAATTCATATGTTTTAAATTGTGCACTGTTCTGAGTCGCATGATGAAATAAATTTCACATTATCTGACATTGTCCTGCTCTGCCCCGCCCAGGTCATCACTTTGTCCAGCATCTCCAAGCTTAGACTCGCCCCTTACCCCATTAGTCACTTAACAGCCATATCTTGGGTTATTGTAGTGCTTCTGTTCAAGTAACCCTTATTTTATTTCATATTGGACCCAAACACAGGAGCAGTAATGTCAGCAATTCGGATACACGAAAGAGAAGCCAGTAAAGTGCTTCCTTTAGGTGAAAATGTAAGCACAGTGTAATAAGATATTTTGAGAGAGAAACCACATTTGCATAACTTTTATTACAGTATATTGTTACAGTTTTTCTATGTTATTAGTTATTGTTGGTAATCTCTTACTGTGTCTAATTAATAAATTAATCTTTATCATAGGTATGTATATATAGGAAAATAAGTAGTACGTATAAGGTTTAGACTATCTGTGGTTTCAGGCATCCACTGGGGGTCTTGGACAGTATCCTTGTGGATAGGTTGGGGGCTACTGTATTCACTGTGTGTGCTTTAGCTCATTTCATCATCTGTAAAATGACAATTTTAGTGCTTACCTTAGAGGATTGTTTTGAGGAGTAAATGAGAGAAAAGATTCTATATTATGCATCTATTTGGAACATTGGATACATGGTAAGTTTTTAAATTTTCCTAGTGCTGCCATAACAAATTGCCACAAACTGGATGGCTAAAAACAACAGAAATTCATTATCTCACAGTGTAGGAGGTCAGACATCTGAAATAAAGGTGTTGGTGGGGTTGATTCCTTCTACAGGCTTTCAGGGAGAATCTGTTTGATGCCTACTTCCCAGCTCTAAGCGGTTGCTTGCCATTCCTTGGCTTGTAGTGGCATCATTTCAATTTTTGCCTCTGTCCTTCTTCCTTCTTCCTTCTGGGTGTCTCTCTGTGTCCTGTCCTCATAAGGACACCAGTTTTTGTATTTAGTGCCCTCCTTAATCCGGTATGACCTCCTCTTAACTAATTATTAATACATCTGCAAATACTCTATTTCCAATTAAGACATATTTTAAGGTTCTCAGTGGACATGAATTTTTAGGGGGACACTATTCAACCCCTACCGTACCCATCATATGGAAGTATAAAGGACATGACCTGTTGCTCTCCTCTATATTGGCAACATCTCACAAAGTGTCAAGGAACCCTTAAGATGTCCTGGAGTGTTCCTGGAAGGAGCACACCTTCTCTTAAATGTAAAACTCCCTATCTGCGATGTTGTCCAAAGCAATTCATATGCCTTCTCTAAGTATCTCATTTCCTTCTCTGTGAAACAGGAGTTAATCTACTAAACAAGAAGTACTGGTTGCCTCTCTGCACGACTCCTACAGCACCCAATAATAACAACTAATTATACCTGAGGTAACTTTTGAATGTAGAGAGATCTACCACGATTTTGGAGCTCTTCAGTCATGCACACTCAATTCTCAGATGACCTCATGAATGAAACACAGACACAGAGAAGGAAAATAAACTCTTGTAAACTACTGGGTCCTTGTAAGAGAGAGAATGTAATGGTTAGACTAGATATTTCAAGTGGGTGTCTGTCTGCTAAGGTGAGGGTTCTCTTTCCCTGGCTCTTCACAAAGATTAGGAGAAAAGAGAAGGGAAGCAGGGAGACAAGAGAAAAGCAACAGCTTTATTTGCAGAATGACAAAAGCAGATTTCATGGTTGTTTGGTGGTGATTGTTTTCTTGGCTCCAAGAAGATCTCATATTTCCATTTCCAGGTTTTGGCAATAGTATTCATTCTTGGAGAATGAACAGGTTCCATTGCCTCCCTGAGCTACGAGTTGAAGCACAGAAAAAGTTGTTAAATCCATGTTTCCAGCACAAGGCTTTGGGCCCATGTAATTTTTATCCTTTTTAAATTCACAGGGGGAGAGGGACTATACCTTATTCACTTACCTGCTACAAGTAACGTGGCAGAGAATTCTCCACCTGAGACCTCAGTGCACAAGTTTTCTGTGAAATTATCAGCATCACTGTCACCTGTAATCCCAGGATTTCCCCTGATAATCAACTCCAGTCCCCTCACTGAAGTCTTCAGGGTCAGATGGCTGTCAGGCATCGACTTTGAGGTAAGTACCATCTTACTCCCAATGGGAGTTGTCTGCAAAGAGACGACTTGAAGTTGAGAGGCCTATGGGATTCTAGATCAGTGATTATTTCCTCCTCTTTCCCTAGTTTAATCTCCCCTGTTGTAAGACCCAAAAGTTCTGTTCAGGGCATTGTAGGGCCTTCTGTGCTTTTTTTCTTCATTTAATCCTGTCCAACTGAACATTATGCTCAACTTGTTGCAAATAAATGGCTTGTTTCTTATTGCCAACCATCTTCACATGACATCAGGTATAAGGTGTGTTGACAGTAACTAAATTCTTTGGGTGGGATAGTTTGAGTATTGATCTCTTTAGAAGTTGGGCTCTGATGAACTCGTGTCTGGTGGTTCTGACTTTCCATAATTCTGTGATTTTCCTGAAGGAAATCTATGAGGAGACATTTAATAATGGAAGAACATGCCCTTAGTGAAAATACAAGCCTAAATGTCCAGCCCTACTGTGTGAATGTTTCCTCTTGGATAAGTCAGACCTAATCATTCACGCTGAGGATCCATGGTACCACTGCTCTGTTGTCTAGTTGCTATTTGAGTCTTTCCAAAGCTGTCACACCTCCTAAGGCAGGACAAAACTGCTCATTGCATGTTTTCTCCTGGTAACCCTGGAGTCCTTCAAGGATGTCTTTAGGGTCTAGGTGTGTGGACCTACTTATACTTCAGTATCTCCCACCCCTACCTTTTCCTCAGCTGGCATAGGAACCTCATACAGTTATTATCAGCCTTGCCCCTGGTCCTGCCCACCATTGCCTTGTAGTTCTGGTGGGACCCAGAATGCTCAACCTGCTCGGTTTAGGCATGGTTGCCTTCCTGAGGTGCATACTAGGTGTCCTTAAACTTACTTGATCATTAGAGTCATTATGGAACCCATGACTTGAGGGTCAGAGTGCAGTCATCTGGTAGTCTCAGCACTCCAGGGGTGAGGCCTCGAAGTATGTAGGACGCACACATTAAGAGAGCCTTCACATCAGCATCCAGTGTACACTCCCAGAACCCAGATCCTGGTTCTGACTTACCTGCCCCATGTACTTGTTCCCTTGACATTTAGCTCTTCAGTAACAGCTCTTGAGCATCTGTTCCTATAAACCTTATTAATTGCTTGCACTTAGAGAGCACATATGCTCTCTAAGTGCACCACAAACTCTTAAACAGGCTTTACACATGTTTACTGTTCATTTTTATTTGTATCATTCCATGATTTTATTTATATTATTACCCCCTTTTTACAGATGGAGAAAACAAAGCAAGATAATACACAGGTTAAATGACCTTCCCTGGGTTGTACAAGATATTAGGTAGTTGAGCTGAAATTGAAACACAGGTGGTATGACTTCAGAGCTCTTACCATTCTTTTTTACCTAGCTTTATTGAGATATAATTCACATAGCATATAATTCACCCATTTAAAATATACAATTCAATGGTTTTTACTATATTCACAGACCATCATCACAATCTAATTTTAGAACATTTATATCACTCCAAAATGAAACCCCAAATCCATTAGCAGTCACTCCCCTCCTCCTATTCCCCTCAGTTCCTGACAACTACTAATCTGCTTTCTGCTTTAATGGATTTGCCTATTGTGAATACTTCATATGAATGGAATCATATTGTATATGGTCAATAATGACTGGCTTCTTCCCCATGAGCATAAAGTTTCAAGAATCACACATTTCATAGCATGGATCAGTACTTTACTTCTTTTTAATGACTGAATATTATTTCACTCTATGGTTATACCACCCTTGTCTATCAATTCGTCAGTTGACAGGCATTTGGATTGTTGCCACTTGAGAGTTCTCATTAGCAGTATCTATAGTTTACTGACTTTAATGATGATGATAACCATGCTGCTTCAAATTTGCAGAGATTTCGCCCTGACCAGGTGGCTCATTTGGTTGTACGTCATCCCACAAAGTGAAGGGTTGCTGGTTGAAATCCAGTTGGGGTATATGCCTGAGTTGTGTGTTCAGTCCTCATTTGGGGGGAATGTATGAGAAGGAACTGATCGATGTTTCTCTCTCACACTGATGTTTCTCTCCTTCTCTTTCTCCCTTCCTTCCCCCTTCTGTAAAAATAAGTAAACAAAATCTTTTAAAAAATCAACTTAAAAAAAATTTGCAGAGATTCCAAAGCAGATTCAAATTTTAATCTCTTGAATGTTACTACTAACACTGATAGTATCACTGCTTAATTTTTATTTAAAATTTCTATTTTAGAAATAAGATAACAAAAATACAGCAAGGTTAATTGATTTGTCCAAGATCACATAACCATAAAAGATAAAATAAGAACTTAACTCAGATCTTTTGACTCCCAGTCTTAGCCTCTTTCTCCTACGTGGCCATGTACACCTGTTACTGTTTTGATGAGCCAACCATCTTTTTCTGTGGAACATGCCCTTCCCATGTGCCATGCAATTCAGACAGGGCTGTCAGTCAAGGAAGAATTCCAGCCTGTTCCTGACCTCTAGAAATGATGAATTTCTTAGTCCCTCAACTGATCCAGGCTTAAGTATTCAGCATATTCTCCCACTCCTGATGTCCTCCTGGTACACAGGCTACAACTGACCAGGACCTTGTGTTGATATGAGGATGGGCCACAGGCTTACACATCCTAAAGCTCTTATTAACTATTGGTTGTTATTGAAATCTTGGTTCCAGTCAAGATGGTGGAGTAGGTAAATGCAATGCTCATCTCCTTCCAAGACTACATCAAATTCACAACTAAACTATAGAACAATTAACCTGAAGAACCATTTGGAAACTAGCCGAATGCAACTCCTATAATTAAGGATATAAAGAAGCCATGTGGAGACCAGTAGGAGGGGTGGAGATGCAGAACAGGCTGGTCCCACACACATGCAGGGTGGTTGAGAATCAGGAGGGATATCTTCACCTCTGAGGAGTGAAGGATCCCAACTCCACACTGGGCTCCCCAGTTCAGGGCTCTAGTGCTGTGAAGAGAAGTTCCCACAACAGCTGGCTGTGAAAATCCGTGGAGATTCATCCAGGTGAGACAGTGGGCGCAGTCGTCCACAAACACTTATACTAAGAAACAGAATTGTGTGATGTCAGGGTGAATACTACCATTTTTCCTGTGTTGGGCTATCCCCCCACACAGCCGACAGGCACAGGTGGGTGTCAAATAAGAACCTGCCTTAAACTGGTCAACACTGCTCACTCCACCCTGAGACCCCACTCCACCCAATTTGCACTTTGCCTTTGGCTCTTTCTGTTGCTGTGCCTCATGGTCAGCAGGCCTTGGCTCACACTCTATACTTTCTTCAACATTCTCCAAAATCCACAAGCCCCAGGCAGGCGGCAGCTGACCTCAGGATACCCTGTGCCTCTTGTTAAACTGCCCAAATCCAGCACTGGTGGCAGGGAGCTTTGGTTGCAGCATGGCCTCTCTCATATGCCTCTGGGCCCAGCATAGACAGCTACCAATAGCAGATCACTTTGTAGCTTCTACCAGGTGGCCCATATTTAGGCACAGGTGGACTGACCTTGGCCTGCAATGGACCCCCTTCCAAGAGGCCTCAGAACCAACAAACCCAGTGGATGGCTTCAGATTACAAGAGAGTACCACCTGATTAGCTTCACAAACAGCACACCCAAAGGGCAGTCTCAGCAGGCACCAAAGCCCCACTGGGACAAATCTTGTTCCATGTCTCCACACAACAGCTTCTCCTCTGTGGTTGTGTCCTATCCTCACAGCCCCTCAGCATGGGGGTCAGCCCCACCCACTGATTTACCAATAACAATCAAAGCTAAGCTACATCAGGAGGAACTTCACAAGGGACACTCCTGGAGCACCCATCTTAAGTGACCAGAGAGACTGAGCCACTGAGCCTGAAAAGAACACCTATTACATAAGGCCACCTCACCAAGAAGACTTATCAGATCTACCTAATACATAGAAACAAATGCAGAGAGGTAGCCAAAATGAGGAGACAAAGAAACATGCTACAAATGAAAGAACAGAATAAAACTCCAGGAAAAGCACTAAACAAAATGGAGGCAAGCAATCTACCAAATACAGAGTTGAAAACATCAATAATAAAGATACTCAATGAACTTAGGAGGAGAATGAAATCGGTGAGAACATCAACAAAAAGACAGTAAACAAAAAAAGGACATAAAAACCACAAAAAAAGAACCAATTGAAAGTGAAGAATATAATAACTGAAATGAGAACTACAATAGAAGGAATCAACAACAGATTAGTTGGAGCAAATGATCAAATCAGTGATTTGAAAGATAAGCTGGGAAAAAAATCCAATCAGAACCGCAAAAAGAAAAAGAAATGTTTTTTAAAAGTGAGGGTAGTTAAAAGGATCTCTGGGACATCAAATGTATCAAAATTCACATAATAAGGATACCATAAAAAAGAGAGAGAGCAAGCAAGGGATTTAAAATGTAATTGAAGAAATAATGATGGAAAATTTCCCTAGCTTGGCAAAGGGAATAGACACACAAGTTCCAGTATCACAGAGTTTCAAACAAGATGAACCCCAAAAAACCCATATTAAGATACATTATAATTAAAATGCCAAAAGTTAGAGACAAAGAGTGAATCTTAGCATCAGCAAGAGAAAAACATGGGAGTTTTGGTAAGACTTTCAGTTGATTTCTAAACAGAAACCTTGCAGACCTGAAGGTATTGGCATGAAATATCAAAGCAAGGAAGAGCAAGGATCTACAACCAAGAGCACTCCACACAGCATGGATTTCATTTAGAATTGAAAGGGAAATAAAAAGTTTCCCATGCAAGAAAAAGCTAAGAGAGTTCATCACCATCATACCAGTATTAAAAAAAAATATGTTAAAGGAACTTATTTAAGGAGAAGAAGGAAGGAAAGAACACAAATATGAATAATAAAATGGCAGGCACTACATACCTATCAATAATCACTTTAACAGACTTCCAGTCAAGTAGGAGGCATAGGTAAACACAGCCCAC